GCAAAACAAATTCAAATGATCATAATTCCCTCGATGACGCTTTCGAAAGTTGCCTAAATGGAATGATCATAGTCCCTTCAAAGCAAATTGCCAAAGACACTTGACATCATTGCATTCATGGTCCATACGATGACCCGCGCCCGTCCCGTTAAACATCCTAAACGCAAGATTGTCCATCAAATTCAATGGTGGAACAAAATTGTTAAAAAGGGTTGAAAACATAGAGAAAACCTTTGAGTATAATAGGGGTAGACAAAACTCTTAGTTACTTGAGATCAACTTGCAAAAACACTTGCCTTCTTTTCAAAAATCACACTTCACAAACACTTTCAAACGAACTCTTCAAAAACATTTGAAACTTCTTTTCGAAAAGATATACACCTTCGTATATACTCAAACACGAGTCATTACATTGGTTGCCTAAAACAAGGCATCTTCTTCAAAAAACATTTTTCAAAAAGACACACACACACACCATTTTCAAGCAATCGAAAATCAAGGCAAGTGATCTAAAAACCAAGTAACTAAGAGCCCATGGATAACCATGGATGAAAAGGGTGCTAACACCTTCCCTTTTCATAATCTACCCCCCGAACCCACGAAATATCTCAAAAGGTTTTTGCTGTGCTTTTTAACCTTTCCTTTAGGATAAAATAAAAAGTCGGTGGCGACTCTTGCTCAACCGAACAAGTGCGAATACAAACGCAAACCTCTAGTCAGTTCTCCCACCGTACCACAGGGAGGTTTTTAGAGAGAGGTCAGAGTCTCTCTCTCTCGAAACTCTTACAAAGTTTTGTGTGTTGTTTGGCTAGAGAGAGATAGAGAAGCGAAAAATGAGGCCAGGTGCTAGGGCTTTGGCTTTTGTAGACGTTTCACCCTCCTCGGATTTGCGTCAGGCGGCTCCTTGAGAGCCTCTTGATGAGGAGACCATTGACTAGTCTCTTGTGCTCACGTACACCATATTCCCCGTCATACCTCAAATCTGAGCCATGTGTTATTCATACTTTTAATCAACGCCCCATGATTAAATCCTGAGAGCCATTTGATTAGAATGGACGTATCAAATTCATCAGCCACACCATAGCACCATGTTTCTTGCCTCACAATGTCTAACATACTGAAACAAATTTTCTTGGGCCCAAGCCCTTTATATTGACACCCTTCTTTTGCTACTTCAGTTGTAAGCTACACCCCCAGGCTATTTGGATCATAAATCAACGATTGGGCCTAGGCCCTTACTACTTGCACTCTTTATTTTGCTATCCTTATACAAAATACACCCTTCTGGTTAATTAAAAAATTTATTTGATTTGTGTTAATTTGTTTAATAAATGTATTTGTTTAATTTATTTATATTCACATATTTATCAATTCTTGCTTCATGTCATTTTTTTATCATTCGCATTAAAACTATTTTTTTATCATATAAATCATTTTGATAAATAAATATTGAATTGTTATAAAAAATATTTAATTATGTTGATAATAAGAAAGTAGTTATTTATTAATTATTTTCTAAAAAAATACTATTTTTTTCCACAAATTCATCAAATATTGTATTATCATTAAAACTCACCTTTTTTAAATTGTACTATACATTCTAAGACAGCTAACCCATCAAATCTAACGCATTTTTACTAACATAATTCAAAATTCAATTTCCTTTCAAAACAGAATTGTAGATATATTTTTTATTAACTGCGAACTATGTCTACGACTATGCTATTTTCAAACCCAAACAGGGTTCAAGGATAATTCTAAACATTTCTACAATCCATAAAAACACATACGAACTACAAATTTGAACTCTGATTCTTCACAAGAAGATATGTAGGTACACAGTTAAGACCAAGACAACTTCATAACTAAAAAACTAAAATTCTTTTCTCAAATGTATAGAAACATTAACTGTAAAATACCCACCTTACCCTTAAACATGAAAGTGAAGCCCCTTGAGAACAAGGGAGGTGAAGGGTGCCTAACACCTTCCCTTCGTATAATCAACTCACGAATCTAGAATCTCTGTATAAATTAGAGTTACCCGTTATTTCCCCGTCCTCAGGATAAGAATTAATGGTGTCGACTCTTTATTTTTTGCTGGTTACGACAATGGTGTTGTGACGATATTATGATGATGCACATGTTTTAAATATGTAATACATGCTATGTGATATTTATATGAATGATGATGCAATTGACTAGCCATGATCGAATTTTATGTGACAATTTGTGCATCATGCATTCATAGAAATATTTTGGACGGAGGTTCTCTATTTTGTACGGTGGTCCGCTTGTGACGAGCCTCAATCCCATTGTATGGATTGAGTGCATTTATGATGTGCTTAGGTTCCAAGAGGGAATCGATTCTATAATGGGGATATTTATAGGGTGATGAACCAGTGTTCATAAAATAATGATACCACATGCATTGAGTCAGTATTGTGCATTAACATCTTATGTGACATTGCATGATTTTGTTGATGAGTTTTGATACAATGATAGTTATGAACTATGTGAGTTTATAATAATTTGATGATGAAAGATGTGTAAGTTTTATTGTAATGTATCTGTAAGTATAATGTGTTGATGAATAATATGTGTTGTTATATTATGAGGTTGTTTGGGACTACTAATCTTTTTCTTATATCTTTTATAATAAATTGTGATTACTCACCCTTTATGTTTGAATTTGCCTCCACGTGGATAACGCGTAGGTGACCAGAAGTAGTTTGTAGAAGCATCGATGATAGCTTCAGAGTATTTTATTTAGTTTGCTACATTAGTAGTGTCTTGCTCTGATGTGTAACATCAGATTGGGAATGCTATGATTGTGAATGTTATGTTCTTTTGATGTTGACATAAATTTGTGACGATTTTGATTGTTAAACTGATTTGAATTCCAACTTTTGATTGAGACTATGATGCTATGAGTTTTATTTTATGAAGGAGTTTATTTATGACGATGAATCTATTGCGTTGACTTAAAGATTTTGTTGAGCTATGATAAGATGATATAAAGATTGATGTAACCCGTGTTACGGAGCAATATTGTTATTATGATGTTTTCAAAAAAGTGTGACACTCTTGAGTGGTGATTTTCTTTGATTTATTTCATAAATTATATGAGAAATACACATGGAATTAGAAGGGTGTTATATTTGGTACCATCATTTGAGAGGTTAAAGCATCGGTAACCCTCGAAAATAAAGTCTTCACTTGAAAGTCGTTTGACCACAGTGTTGACTTTAAAATGATGTTTTGATCTTCCAGAGCATTGCTTGATTCAGGAGGCTAACTTAATTAACCATCTTGTGCATCTTTGATCACTTAAACTATCTTTAGCAGATACTTGACTTCATTAGATATAGTTTGATATTGAGTGTTGTCATTATCAAAATTAAATAGCTACTCAGTTGACTTACAACTTTGTTATCCATAAGTTTCACTATCTTGGATCATCTTGACTATAGCTGCAAGCACATAGATCCATACCTCTTCTCCCTTTGTTTGTCTGAAAAGGGCCAAGGGCAAACAAGAACCAACACTTAGAACAAAATGAGGATACAAATCCAACAAACCAACCAAGCAAAAATTCTAACAACCCAACATAAGATCAACAATCCAAAAAGGAAAACTAACTAAATCAAAGTGACAGAGTATCTGTCACTGTTAGATACCTCTTTAATAATAACATCATCCTCTTATTCATTTATGTAGTTGAACACATCATCATTGTTAGATTTAGACACTTCATGAGAATCATAAAGAGTTTAAGCATTGACATCACCAGGAATATGAGGCTAAGAAGTGGAAGTTGTAGTAGAGTGATAATCCCTTCATGATAATCTCTTCACACAAAGTCTTCCTAGAATATGATGTAGTGATGGGGTTATAATAATAAAGGGAATATATTCCTCACATTCTCGTTTTAGATCATGTTTGGATAAATTGAATATAAAGGAGTTGAGCGAAATGAAATATAATAAAGCGGAATGGAATATAGATCTCACTTAATTTTTGTGATAATTTATTAAAAGTGTCTCATTCTATTGCATAAACCTTAAATCAGATGGAACAAATAGAGGATTGGATAGAATGGATTCTATCATGTTCCATTTAACTGCATCCTCTATTTGCAAATTCAAATAATAGAATCTCATTATTACCACTTCACTTTATCACATACAACTAATCTAAATATACCCTTAATTTATCTCTTACCACACACAATAAACCTTAAATCTATGTGGAGGCCGACAAATTTGATTGTTGGATTCAAGCTATGCAAGTTAAGCTTATTATTGTACTCGTTAACAATGGCACTTGAAAACTTGTTGTTCTTGCATTCAATACTAAGACAATAGAATACATGTGGGTGTATAAAAGTAAACATTGAGGGGAAGCATAAAGAGATTCAAGTTCAAGCTGGTTGCTAAAAAATACAACTAATTTGAAGAACTAAACAACTTTGACACATATTCACTTGTTGCAAAGCTTATAAATTTTAGATTTGTAATTGCTTTGGCATGAATTCAAAAATGATGTTTGCATCCATTAGATATATAAAAATATATTTTTTCATGGTAAATTGCAAATTGATTAAATCCATCAATGACCTCAAACAGACAAGTAGAAAATGATATGAAAAACTACATCTCTTCTTACCTTCCACAATTACAAACAAGCGGAATCAGACCATACTCAATTTGTTAAGAAAATGCATATGTTTTCACAATCATAATAAAACCAAACAAAACAATTGAAAAGATATTCCTAGTTTTATTTTCACACAAATATTTATGATTAACAACAAAAACATAACAAGACCACATGATTGTTAACTTCTTAACCTAAAAACCAAATTACATGTGTTTATGCATAAACAACTCTAGAAATCATTGAATTTGTTATGAGAAGTATAGTAAATACAAATCACCAAGGAAGCATAATTTTATACTTCAAAACTTTTGGTCCTTTTCATTATCCATAATTCAAATCCCTTAAACATACATTGCATCATTGCTTAAATTGAAATTGTTACTCAAATCAACCTCAGGCATGCAATGAACAAACCCATTTCCAATCATTTGGTTTGCAAACTTAACTTGTGAATTGAACATCACACTATTATGATACTCCAACACATCATGATGCATCGCAGCTTCTTGAAAAACTGAATTTTGATCAAATCCATTCCTCATGACCAAAGACTCAACTGAATTTGAAGAGTTGCTACCATTTACATGATCAAGAGAAAGCCATTCGGCAAATAAAAGCTTTGGTAATGAGCTTTGTTGAGTCTCTTTGGTGATAATGTTGTTGTAATTGTGTGGACCTTGAGTTGCAAGTTTTTGAAGAGTGTGTGAAGAGTTCATTGTGTCTGAGCTTGAGCTAGCATATTGAAATTGTTTTTGAGACTCCATTTCATTAGCTTTGGCTACTCTTTTTTTCAAATATGAATGCCAATAGTTTTTTATCTCATTGTCTGTCCTTCCTGCTAAATGTTGTGCTATTTGTGACCACCTGAACAATAGCAATTTTTTATTTTATTTTCCCTTTAAATTGGAACCACTTTATTCTATAAAAATTAAATTGAATTATATTTAAAATTATCCACCAAACCAATTACATTAAATTAACAACTTTTTTTTTTATCTTTCCTTGCAAGTTTCTATCAATATTTTAAACTAAAATTTACAATAACAAAAAAATTACTTCTTTCACTTTAAACTTTTTCATAAAATTGAAGAGAAATGTAAAACTAAGAGTAGATCACAACTATAATACTAGCTTACTTGTTGCCTAACATGTGATGAAGGGTCAGGATTGTCTCCTCCTCTTGTTTGCTAAACTTTCCTCTCTTTAATCCTGGCCTTAGATAATTAATCCACCTTAATCTGCAGCTTTTTCCATTCCTTTGCAATCCTAAAAAATTTATAAAAAAACTTTAAATTTTAAATCGAAAAAAAAAATACCGATGAACATTTTACCATCTCTAAATTTTTTTAAACTTTTTCCTTTAAGATAATAAGATCAGAAACAAGAAGAAGAAAAAACCAACCTGACTTAATAGGGACAGAACTCCAACAGCCATGACCATGTTTAAGGATGTAGTTTCTGAGTTTATGATCTTCTTCAGGTGACCATAAACCCTTCCTATGTTTTGGTTTTGTTTTTTCTACTGTCTGCACCCCCATTTTGTTTCTCCTTGTAAATATTCACTTTAGTGTAAATCTTGAGTTTGAAATTTGGATCACTACAACAGAATAATATAGAGCAGAGTCAGAGAAAAATGAGAGAATATTTATTTGGTAAGAAAACTATGCAGAAGCATACTAATATATATAAAGGAAGAAAGGGTTATGTTTTGTTTATTTTTCAACTATCATTTCACTAATCACGTTGAAATAATTAACAAAATATATATATATATATATATATATATATATATATATATATATATATATATATATATATATATATATATATATATATATATATATATATATATATTGTCTCATAAGTTGAAAACGTGTTCCCCTTACTGAAATTCACCTAAACAAATGTATGATTGTTTAATATATTCCTCTGCTCTAATCTTTTTCTAAATTAGTAGATTTTCATGTTCAAAGTTCTCCAAAAGTTATATGATTTTTTTTGGTACACTATAAGTGGAGTTTGTTTTTATTCTGAAACGGCGATTCTAAATATTTATGATAATACCACCAAAAAAATAAATCCTATTGTAATAACTTTTTAAAGCTTTAAATCAAAGCGCCTAAACATATGTTTATAAATTAAGTTAACTTACAAAACAATTTTATAAAATTGATTTAGATTAAACAACAATTTTAAAATGTTTATAGAAAATATTTATAAATAATGTTTGCTCGACCATAATTCTAAAAACATTGGATGGGAATATTAGTGTCTTTATTTATTGAATATTAATTTATTTTTCTTTGGTGAAAAGGTATGAAAAGTGACTTGAGTACTCACATACAACATAAATTAATGTACAATTGATTCATCTTATTCTCTAGACGGGTAATTAAAAATGAGATTATTCAAGTCAACCTTTGTCTGGTGCCAACACATTCTCTGCCGCTCAAGAGCAATTAACAAACATTTTCAATCTATAACTTAAAGTTTTTAGCATTATAAATTCTTGTAACTAGTTTTAAACTATAAATATATTAAAGCATCCCATACAAAAGCTTATAATTCTAATTGTTTGTTTTGTGCTAACTAATTGGATCAAGTGGGATTGTCGTGTTGATTTAACTGCTTAATTTGAATAGTATATTTGTATCGATTAAATTTGAATAAATATTTTAGATTCATTAAAAATTAAATTCAATCGAATTTAATTAATATTTATTTTATTCAGTTTTATTATTATAAAACTAACTTATTTAAAAATTGAGTTCATATTATTGTCATGCTATTATCATTTTTATAATTTAATGGTTATACAGTGTACTCATAAAAATTAAATGACACGTAATATAAAAATTTAAATGTTATTTAGTTTGTAGTTTAAAATATGATAATGATATAATTAATTTCAAATAATATTAAAAATGTTATCTGTTATTAATTACTTTTTTCAATAATAAAAAAGAAATTCATTTTTCAATTATTATAAAATTTGGTATTTTTTATTTAAAAATAGATGTTTGTGAATTTTATAAAATTTATCTGATGGACTCATCAAATCAATTTAATTGAATCTATTGAAAATTGAATTATTATCAATCTTAAGAATTAACCTGTGATTTGTGTTGGTTTTAAATTTTGAATCTAATATCGATTCAAATCGATTGATTACTCGACCCTGATTTTAATCCTCATCCTCAAACGTAACATGGATCAGGGTTCAATTCACACATGTCTCACTCTAACACCTAGTGTGAATCTATACCCAATTTTTATATTATACGTTTTAAATTTTTAAAGGTCATACTTTGGATAATGCAGATTAATTCTACTAAAATAAATAGAAGTTTTATTTAATCATAATTTAATTATAATAATATTTTTGAGAGCCTATTAAAAACATAATTTAATTGTGATAAATTTTAAATCATGTATAACTCTTCACATTCTTAAAAACGACCATAAATATCATCTTTTATATATATATATATATATATATATATATATATATATATATATATATATATATATATATATATATATATATATATATATATATATATATATATATATATATATATTCCAAACAACTTCGATAAAATTGTCTTATTTTACTACATTCCAAAAAAAATATACACAAGCTTTCTAAATTCTAGATTTTGATTTAATAACATATCAAGTTTTAAATTCAAATGACATTTTTAATCTTCATAATTTTATATTTTTCTTCTTTTTATTTTAATAATTCTTTTGCAAATTTAATGCAGTTAAAAACAAGTTCTTATTCTTTGTTAGAGGCTGGTGAAATAGAAAATTAGGATAGGTTGAAGAATCTAGAACTAGAAGCGGCATGTGTTGCTGAAGTTGGTATAGGAGAAAAATTGTCCTTACTAGAAACATTATATTTTCATTATTGATTGATGAAAGAAACATTTGTACAATTTTGCAGAAAGAAGATGAGTTCATTAATGGAAGATAAAAGTACTAGTAAATTTTGATCCATTTTATAATCATTACAGTAAATTTTTATCAACTGTTCATCAAAAATGACAGTTTGGATGTTGTTCAACCAGGATCATCTTTAACCTCTGTCATTAATCATAACACCTTCACATAAAATATGTAGCTGCATTTTAAAATTTATTTTATAACACAAATATAAAGTTGTGTTATTAATCAATTTTATAAATGTATTAACCACAAAAATATATAATGTATGTCATTAATCATATAATTTACTTAATATTTTCACTACTCATTAATTAATAAAATATAATATTTTGTCACTAAATAATAAATGAATTAATCAACTTTTATACTCATTAATCAATTTTATTTTATTATTCATTTTTATATATTTGAGAATTTATTAATCAATTTATGAACTACGTTAACCAATTTTATATATAATAATATTAATCAAAGTTGATTTATTACATAAAATTAATATTTAACGTCAGAACACTCGATAATTAAACTATGAACTATATTAATTAATCTATAACATTCAATTAATTAACTTTATTTTATAACTTAAAACTATTTTTATATCGAAATATATATTAATTAAATTTTTAATTGTACTAATCAAATTTTAATATTTTATTAACTAAAATAATTTAAAAAATATATATATAAATAAATAAAAAATTAAAAAAAAAAAAAAAAAACATTGTTCAGTGTTCACATATTTGAACAATATATTAGATATAGGTGTATAAATTTGATCTCATAATATCAATTGTCTTAAATATTTTTTTTCCGATACTAATATATGTGAAAAGGATAAGAATAATACATATAATTTTTTAAAACTAAAGTAGGTCTAAAATTTGAGATGAAATATTAAGTTGAACTAAAATGTACATAATAAACTTCCAATCTATGCGGTTATATGTTTTTTCTAAGTTAATTTTTTTGTACCTAAGTTAATCTTTAATGTAATTATTTTACCATGCAATGTGATTAAGGAAATGAATAATTTCATTTAAAGAAGAATATTATAGATATGTAGGATTGACATTTTAGAAAAAAGTGTCGTGTTTGTGTCGGTACCCTGCATCAATATTTATGATTATATTTAATTAATTTAATTTTTTTAATTATTATCAATTATATTAGTATCAGGTCACATTCAAAATATCTGTGTTTCATAGGTTATCAATGACACATCTATTAGAAATAAAACTACGTTGGATATCATAAACTACATAGGGTAGGATTTACCTAAGTCTTTGTGTGGCCACTTTTCTTACAATCTTGTAGATGACATTACAAAAGACGATAAGTTGCAATTGAGTAACTTAGGATTGCAATCGAGTAACTTAGAAGAAGTTTTAGTGTTTAAAAAAAATTGTGAGTCGGAAGTGTTGAGAAATAAGTGTAGGAAAGTTTTATATTAATTAGAAAAATAGAAATTTAGTATTTTATAAGTGAAATAACTTGCACATATATTATCTTAATATTTTGGGTGAGTATGTAGTATGTTTCTCATAATATCTGTTGCTCATAAAAAAAATATCCTATTAAAAAAATGTTCTTCATGTTGAACCCCCAAATTGATGGCTCGACTATGGTATCATGAGTCATTGATTCAAGTGAATGATCGACTCACTTGTATCAAAAGTCATTCTCATATGGTGGGTATGAGGCTCACTTGTATCGAAAGTCATCTCCACATGGCGGTGGGTAGGAGGCTCACTTGTATCGAAAGTCATCTCCGCATGGTGGTGGGTGAAGCAAGTCTCGCTGAAAAAGTGTCAATGATGGTACAAATATATGTGAATGAGAGAGTTTTTGCTTGAAGGAGAGCATTGTTGATAGATTCACACTTGAGAGGGGGTGTTGAGAAAAACAAATGTGAGTTGAACAAGTGTGAGTTAGAAGTGCTGAGAACAAAGTGTGGAAACACTATGTCAAAACTGCTTTTATGCAGCACACTTTAGACAACGCTTCTATACCAAAGCGTTGCTATATGTCCCGATAAAATTTTAAATTTTAAAACTATATACATTAAACAGCAGTTTATAAAAAAGTGCTGCCTAAAGGTAAGAAAAAGTGATGCCTAAGCCACACTTTAGGCAGTGCTTTCTAAGGTCAATTAAAATTGAAAAAAATAAATTCTAGAAAGCGCTGCCTAAATTCAAAACGTTGTTATAGGTCCAACAGTAGAAAGCGTTGTCATAGGCCCAAAGCGCTGCTAAAGCCACAAATTAGGCAGCATTTTCTACTACAAATTTTGTTTTAGGCAGCACACTATAGACAGTGCTTTCTTCCAAAAGTGCTGATATAGCTTTCAAAGAAATTTGAAATAAAGTGCTGCTAAAGGCTTACTTTAGAAAACACTGTTATAGCTTTAAAAGGAATTTGAGAAAAAGTGTTTCTAAAGGCTTACTTTAGAAAGCGCTTCTAAGAAGTGGTGCTTAAGGCCATACATACCCCAAAGCGCTGCTAAAGGATGTGTTTAGAAAGCGCTTCATATAAGCGCTACTATAGGGCATACATCAGAAAGCACTTTTTAATGAAGAAGCGCTGCTAA